CCTAGTAGGTAGGCAATTTGCCGACGAACCCCTGAAAATAGGCAACCCATAGTACACAGCCCCTCCGTCAGCTCAGCTGGAAGCGCGAGAGGGAGAGAGACAGCTCGAGTGTGGGAGTCCTGACCGCCTTGGCAGTGAGATATTAGACCACCGTGTGTACAGGTTTGCGTCTGCGACATTACTCTACTGAAGCCTTCTTGACGACTGGGGCAACGTCTTAGCGTCGCGTATAGCATCGTGCTTCGCGCATTTCCAAAGAGTGGAACACACAATAACACACATGGCATGCTGTGCGACTCTCGTCCGAATCCGCGCGGCTCCCGCACCGTTCTCATAGGACGTCAGCCCCCTCCCCATTCACCACTCCCTTTTAGCGCTGCCTCCTAAGCCCATTATTATTCGACCTTTCGCATCACACTGCCGAGCGCTCCAAGAGAGCTCGCGCCACGCTTCTACGGACGCGAAACGTTTCCTGGGCCAGCCCGACCGGGGAAGCGGGGAGGTCCCTCAGTTTTTCAGAAACCTTTCCACGCGAAGCTTAGATTCACATAATGTGATATCGGTCCAGACACGACGCAGGCTCCCCGGCTGGCTCCCGGCTCACGTCTCTCCCCGCGAAACAAACACACCACACGAGCGCGCAACACATACAGCGGGGGATAATTTTAAGTGGTCCTGGCGTGGTCCCGTGAGCACACCGCCCGGGCGCTAATGGGTGCCTCGCAGGTGGCGCGGGGTGTGAGCGAGAGGGGTGGCGCCCGGATGAGGAGGAGAAAGGGAGGGAGAGGGAGAAAGAAAGAGAGGGAGCGCAGAGGGCGAAAAATGGAAGGAGGGGGGGGGGGGAGACACGACGCGCCGTCCTGACACCTTTCATTACCCTCAGCATGACATGGGTCGGGGGAGGGGGCGGCGGTGGTGGGGCCCTTTCGGTAAGTGCGCACGAACGTGTGTCGTTGAAAGGCCCCCGCAAAAGGCCCTTTTACGCTCGGACATACCGGCACACGCGTGATGTGCGTTTTTGTTTTAAAGCATTATCTATATATTGAACAAAAAAATATACTAACGTCTTTGTTTCGCACCAAAAACCTATTCTTTTTTTCAACGTTGTCATTGGCGGGGGTGTGAAGTAGGTCAGTCCGCACGCTGTGCTGTACAAGGGTCTGTCTGGTCGCGCTACTCCTGCGGGTTGCCGAGTACACACCGGGCCTTGTACTCGGGTGCACCCCCCCTCCCCATTCGCGCTGCGCCTACTCGTAAAACTAACTGATACAATGCAACAACCTTCGTAAATTTGTTATTCATCGACCACACTAAAGACATTCGGGTCACATACTCTTTTGTGTCGGAAAATACACTTTTTGGCTGAGTGATACAGCCTATTACTCCATTGTTGGTCAGAAAATAACTCTTACGTGAGACGTGGTCTAACCTACATCTACCTTATTACTATAAGTCACACACTTTTCTGAGAATGAGATAGCTTCCGCACGCTTTCTATGCAAGACACAATCAATAGTCAGGTCACGCGCAGTCTGTTGTGTGCGGTTGTGTGTGCCACTTTGACACGCCCTTTCCCTGTGAGAAATATCATGGTAAATTTTGTAATAATTGTTTACAAAATATGTTTCAAATTTGTGACAGCCCAATTTTGCTCGTCGCTGAGTCCCAAGTCGATATGTAGAGCTTTTAATTTTAAAATTTTGAATTGTAGTTTGCAATTTTACGACACGCGTCATAGAAATTTTTTTCACAGTGTTTCAAGTCACACCGTTCTCTTTGAAGAGCACGATCGAGTATGACCCCAACCCTTCCAAAACGCAATCCTTAATCCTTTACTCCCGCTCTCACGCTGTGTTCTTCTTGCAGGGTTCGTCACCTCGCCCGAGACGCATCCTCTGTACGTGGACGACATCATGGGATCGACGCGGCCGTCCTCCCCGCGGAGGGTCCCGGCCGCCAGCAATATTCCGCGGCCCTTTTTTACTTCATTTCTGATTTTCAACACCGCCGAGAGGGAATAATAGAATCATCATTAGAAAAGATATGACCCATATGTTGTTTGGTTCTGTCTATAGGTCCACAGACCCACAACCGTCACTAGTTGTTTAGACATCCTCTGATACGTTATTCAGTTATTTTACTGTAGAAAACGCACCAAACCTGTGAAGGGGGTGAGCCGCGAAGGTGGTCCAGAGCGTGGAAAAATATGGACCTCTGTCGAGCACGTTCATGAACGGACTAAAATGTCGAAGTGAAATAAGAAAAACTGCCCCTGGCCATCTTCACGCGACCGTTTCCTGTATGCTTGTAGCTATGTTTATCAACTGCTTAAAATTCAATTCAATAAAATGAGACTTTAGAGATCCCTCTAATATTTATTTTTCTTCCACACACAACAAAACCTTTCCTTCTTCCCCATCAACATATCTACGGAAAGATGTTCTCTGGTGCGACATCAAGGGGGGTGGAGGGGAGTTCCGGCCAACAGGTGTGGCGGCCGCGGGCAAAAGAGCGGAGGGGTTAGAGGAGGAGGGGGGGGGAGGGGAGAGGGGTTGCACTTGTTCACTGGCGATGTAGTCGGGCGATGCGGGGTGAGACAGGCGGGAGGGGGAGAGGGCGATGACACAGAATGCAGCCGGCAGCATATATAGTGCTCGCGCTTGGATACAGGCCCAGTGTTCACCAATTAGTGCTCAGGTACGTAAAGCAGCCGCGCGTAATTCTACTTCAGTCCTCGAGAACATCTCTACCGGAAGGAAACGTGCCCCTCCAAACTCCCCGCTTTCATTTTATCCTTATTCTTTAGAGAACCGTCTTTCTCTTGATCAAAAACTTTGTCTTGAAGCCACGGTTTGTTGTTGTCGTAGAGGCCGGGCTGAGTCGGTCTCTCTGATGAGCTACCCTCGCGACCTTGACCCCATCTGCCACCCCTCTGGTCCAGCCCGGCCGCGGGCCCACGCCCCCGCGCCCCCGCGCGCTCCTTCACCCCGCCGCAAGTGCGACTGGAGGAGGTGGCCGATGGCTGTTTACCAGGGCGCGCTGCGTGCTGGAGAGCGGGTCGGCGCGGAGGCCATGCGCCGCAGTGGTGCGTCGCCACACGCTATTTTTCGCGGTTCCGAGAACGTGTTCTCGTTCTTTTCTCTCCCTCCCATCGCTCGGCCCTCCGACGCCTCCGCGACCCACTCTTCCCCATATCATGTCAGTCCGAGACGCGGATCGGTCAGGAGGCCCGTCGCGTTCATGTGCCTGGTCGCGAGCCCGCGGGACCGCTCGCAGGCAGTGACGGCCGCGGTGGCCTCTTAGAGCTGAGCAGCAAAGGGCCTCGCCGAGCCTCGCCCAGCGCCACTATGACGTGGTCGTCTGTTCTGCCGCAGCCCAGCATGGCCGGCCGAGGGAGCACGGCGCCCCGTCCAGACATGGCGCACGTCCTGTTGGGTAAGTCTGCGTGTTATGTTGGGGCCAAGGACCCCATCGGTAAAACAACTCGCTTTGTAAGCAGCTTTGGGAGAAAAAGGGGGGGGGGTACATGTCCTGTTCAAAAACAAGCCATTTTTAAAACAATTCCAAAAATGTTGGGTGGCCCGCCGGCTTCCCACCCTCTCGGCTGGTGTCGCGGCGGAGCGCCCGGGCGCGCTGTGATACCCGTCTGGCGCGCACGCCTACTCGGCGGGCTGCCTATGCTCTGGCTCGCAGGCGCGCGGGCCTGCCGCCGCCGCTGGCTGCCGCGGGGGACGGGACAGGAACAGAGGTTCAGGCTCTTTAGGAACGGGATGGCGTTTGTCCGGTGCTGCACCTCCTCTCCTCAAAGCACCTTCACCTCACCTCGTTGCAGGAGTGGCGGTCGCCCTGTGCTCGCTGCTGCTCGTGGCCTGCGAGCCCAAGCCGGAGGCCGGCGGCGCGGCCGTCACCCGCCAGCGGCGCAGCGACGACTACGACAACATGGACAACTTCCTCATGGGCTCCAGCGACTACGACAACTTCTTCCTCAAAACGGCCAAGTCCGTGCCCAGGATCGGACGGCGGAGCAGCGCCGGCGCCGCCGAAGATCCGGAGCCCGTGAGCATGACCAGACATAGACATAGTCACTGTAAAACATACTCCCGTAACTTTACGACATTTTTCGCGGTAAAAGCAATGTCTGATTTGTTTAGGGTGAAGGGAAAACTTTGAGAAACTCACATACTTGTGGGAACTTCCCTCATTTTCTGAGATGATTTCCCCAAAATCTGTAAAGTTTGCCTCAAATATAGGAGTTCCTCAAAGTTTTCCGTTTTTTCCTAAAAATTTGGGAAATTTCCCGTGTTTAAACCTTTGAATGTTTTTCCCCAGCAATAGAGTGGGATGATAGAATGAGCCAGTGAGACAGTTAGTGAGAGATGAGTGATAAGGTGAAGTAGGAATGTCGATGTTGTTTCGGTCCGGTGGACGTTTGAACACTTGCTGGGCGGCTCGCGGCCTGTGTCGGCAGATGCACGTGGACCGGCGCAGCACGGACGCCAACGAGCTGGTGCCGGCCTACGCCAACGGCTACGACCACTTCTTTCTCAAGGCGTCTAAGTCGGTGCCCCGCATCGGCAAGCGGAACGACGAATTCTTCATGAAGACGGCCAAGTCCGTGCCTCGGATCGGGCGCCGCTCCGGGGACGGTCCGGACAACTTTCTGCTCAAGGTACGCGTCAGCCAAGTGTGAGAGTGTCATTATGCGACATAAGTGCGTGGTGTGTCGAGCTGTTTTCTGTGCTTTAAAGGGCGCCGTATTTATTTCTCCTAACCATGGTTAAATTTGGCATGCTGCACAGGGCAGAGATCAAAGCGACTTCCTCAAGACCTCCGGCGAGCCGCGCCTGCGCCGGTCCGGCCTCGTTGAGGCACTCCGAGGCCACCGGCTCGAGAGGAGGTCCCGCGCGCAGCAGGTGGAGGAGGCCGAGTGGCCCGCGCACGGCGCCCTGGGCGGCAACGACGCCGTCCTCGGCCGGCAGCACGCCACCCACCCCCACCGGATCCAGCGGCGCAACTTCGACGAGCTGATGGCCAAGGCGGCCAAGACGGTGCCCAGGATGGGCAAGCGGATGCACCCGGCGCTCGTGAGTCCCTTGAGAGTGAGTCCCTCCCCTTCCGTACGGGACGACAGAGCTGACCAGAGCTGTGCCCTCGGCTGTGCTGCAGGACGAGGTCGGGGACTGGGGCACGGAGCAGCAATGGCCGTGGTTCCGCCAGCAGGACAACCAGCCGGGGCCGTATAAGCGCGCCCCCAACCCAGCCGACCTCATCGACCTGAGCCGTGAGTAGATTAAGAGTAAAAAGCGTATCGACTTCAAGTGTCAGAATTTAAATGCATGTCAACCTTTAACATAAAAATAGGTAATTTTGATGTCTATGTTGTCGTTAATTTTATTGACATTAAGATTATCTTACTTCGATTAGGCTACACTGGAAAAACAAAGGTGCTGAGTTCTCCCTTTAAAAGGCACTCACTAAAACTGCCAAAGACACCATTTTTTAGCACCTTTAGGGCTCTTTAGTGCCTTTATAGAGGCACTTAACTGATCATTTGTTTAGCACCCCTGTAACACTGTGAAAGTCCTGCCATCTAGATTTGTCACCAAACCAACACGACTTGGTGCTTTTGTTTTTCCAGTGTACTGATATCAACGAGTATTTTTATTTTGCGTGCTGTTCACTAAACCGTCGCGCGGTATGTTCTCGCTCTCTAGAGGTGCCGTGGGAGTCCCTCGACATGTACTTGCGGCAGATGGAGGCCCGGCGTGGACTCGGTGACGACGACAAGCACCTCCACGACGTGGTGCTGATCGAGAGCGAGGCGGGCGACAAGGGCGACGAGGCGGTGGACAAGTGGGCCTATAGCGTGGCGGACAAGAAGGACAACAAGGAGCTGGAGGAGGCGCGCTTCCAGCCGGACGTCAAGAAGAGAAAGTAAACGGGGCACGTCTTTGTTATTATTATTTATTGAGTTTATTTATTGAATAGTTCGTAGGGTATCGTAGATAAACGGAGGGGGCGACACGGGAAGCGCGGATAGCAGAGGGGCCTTGCAGTCGCCGTGGCTGGGGTCTGCACCCCAAACTGTGTCCGAGACGGGCTCTCGAGTATTTTTCCGGTGCCTTTGGTTTCTTGGGTTATCTGATTCCCGGTTTGGGCATACGACAATAACTAGTAGACAATACACCGCAGACAATAAGCGCCATCGCCGTCGAATTAATTGCAGGCGACATTGCGCCCTCCCTGCAGTATATTTTTGTTACTAAGAGCCGTGGGTCTCATTTCGTACTTGAGATTGTAAAATTATTCGGAGGAAGACGCTTCATGACACCATCCGCGAGATCCGAAACAAAGACTCTGCAACCCGCGCGTGGCGCCGCTGGAGCCTGGGCGCGCGAGCGGACTATACCAGAGGCCGCGGGCATGGCGGCGGCGCTACCCCGCGTGCCGAGCGCGGCGCGGTTCGGCCCGCCGCCGACAGAGCGCGGCACCGAACGGGAAGCGGGCGCGAAACTATGACAAGTGTGTGTGGTGTGTATGTGTGTCTTCCAAATGTAGAATCCCTTGATAATTATGCATGATTTGCCACGAGCATTTTTAATTACCCGCGGGAATTACCACTTCTGCCTTTACCTTTCACGAGGGATACTTAGAATGTGAGTTGGTGAAATGAGAGACAAGCCGGACAAAAGGGTCCCGAGCAGACATATTTTCCTAGCCACAAGTGAAACCAACCCAACACTTTGAACTTGAAACGGGGTTGAACAATAAAACTTTCAAAACTGACCCTGAATTGTTTACTACCTCATTTGAAAACCATCCCACACCATTACACACCCCTTTGCCACCACGCTGATCGATTCTGATCAAGAGCCATCTCTTATCAGTGTTCCATACCGTTTGCGTCCCGGCCGGGCACTCTGCTGCTTTACGGCCGCTGGATCCTTATCACTTCGACTAAAGGTGTAATCAACCTATCAGCAGCCGGCACGAGCCGAGCTCTATTGCTCACAACATGCGGCACGCGCTTATTGAAATTTCACTTTAAAATACCCCCATTTCTTTCTCGTTATTTCGCGTTACGTAAAGAAAGGATAATACGCCACCGCAGAAGTAACAAAACAAACCACTTGAGGCAATCATCGCCATTATTCTGACGCGTCGGGTCGTGACTTTCTAGTTCTGCTCGGCTGGACAGAGATGATCTGTATAAAACACAGAAAAAAGGGGCACATAAAAGCGGAAACTGGGATTCACTTAGTGCCGATTTGATACGCGGCGCGCTGCCGCACAGATAGCAGCCCATATGCGTGGCCGAGCGGCCGATGGTAATCGTTGATACAGAGTCTGCCGCGATAATTAACCAATTAATTCGTTCCATTACATTCTAGCCATTATCCCATTACTGATGGTGTCAGATGAATTGCACTCACACGCGTTTTGCTAACAGAATGATGCTGCAGGCATAACTGTTTATGTACTCAAGAGTGAAATGGTTATCGCATTAGAAGAGAGAGAGAGGGAAGTGAAATGTGGCCTTGAGGCTGCATACGTCAGTCCCTAATTTGACGGCAGCCAACCGCGGAAGTGGCTCGGACATCATAGTTCTGATTTCAGTTTCGGGCCCATCTCCGAAATCATATGGTTTGAATGGACTCAATACTAATTATACACAAAAAGAAAATTGATTTTCTCTGGAAGGCCTTTTGCCCGAAACTTCTGCCCCCCTCTGCTAATCTGATTTCCTGCTCGCACCCGGCACAGCCTGAGGCAGACAGACTGTCTACATGTCGATATATCTGCCTCTCTAGCTCCTGTGAACCCTCGCGTTCCCGCGCGAGTGGCAAGGACAGCCTGTAGGGTCCTCGGACGCCAATACTAAATAATGTGCCAGTCGGTCGGACGTGCACATCGGCGCAGCGTGTGGTTTCAGCCGCAAACGTTATTCGCACGACGAACACGTCCTTATCGTTATTCACACGTCCGTTTTGACCGCACGTTATGCTGTCCGCCCACGTGGCCCAGAGCGGCGGCGGTATGGTATCCACACGTCCGCTCGCCCACGTGTAAACTCGCTCGGCATATAACTGCACACGTGCCGCCGCTGCTCACGTGCCCCGCGGGCCCCGCGGACTGTCACCGCACCGCCGCAAGGTCGCGCCGTTATTGGCGTTATTCGCGGAGCGCGCGTATCACGTGACGCGTCGTTGTACGCACGACGTCCCGTCAATGCGGACCTTTTTTGTGAGTGAGTGTGTACGCGCGTCCCGTCCAGCGAGCGTTGGACGAGCGCCACGCTATGCAAATGCCTTGTGAATAAAACATGGCCCGTATTTCCCTACGCTAAGGCGGTCGGTAGCGGCTCCGATACACTGCGCCCAAGACGACCGCCGCGCCGCGCAGCGTCCACCAAAAGCACGTAACGCTGCCGCTGCCGCTGCCGCCGCCGCCGCGTCCACCCACGACCAAACTGTCGCGCGCGCGCGGCTTGTCGTGGAAGCCAAGGTGCGCGTTGTTGTTGTTCGCCGAGGGCGCGGGCAGCGCGCGAGGGCAGGGCGACTGACTGCCGTGAGAGGACGACGTGTTGAAATGCCCAGCGGGGCTGCGCGGCGGCGCTCGCGAGACAAGTGTAGTGATTTTGTACGAACACTCTTGTCTTCCGCTACCGCCACGCGTCCATTATATCTTGCCAAAAAAATAATAAAAAAAAATGAAGGAATTTGTAAAACAACGCAGACAGGAGAAAGGTGGCTTTTGTGTATTTATTACGATCCTATTTCAATTATTTACCATCGTAGATATAGTCGTAAAAAAAGGGGGATATTTCTGCCGGATAAGTTATTATTATATTTAAGTCCAAGGGGCCGGGGGCAGCCGAGAGGTGTCCGTGGCGGTAATCATGGCGCCCTCGCCTCCTCCTCCTCCTGCAGAGCCGCGCCGCCATGAACAAGGCGCGCCCGGCAGCCCGCGGGCCGCGGGGGCTACACATCATTTTCAGCAACGCGCAGAAATGTAAAAATGATAGGAACTGAGACATAGACGAACGCGCGCGGTTCAGCTGACAGAGAAGGTGTCCGAAATAACGCCCGCATAAACAGTCGTGGCGCTACAATACCCTGGAAACAGTAAACTTTTTAGGTCGTTTTATTTTTCACACTCACAAAAGAAGCAAAGTCGAAGGAAACTCTATTGCCCCCTCTCCCCCTTTCCACCGCGCCGTCGGTTCGGGGAGTCCACTGAGGCAAGTCCCGGGGCAAGACCGTCGTAACTCGGCGGAGGGCCGGGGCGGGGCGGGGCCGGCGCGGCGCCCGCTGCAACCCGCCCTTGGGGCCGTACTGGCGGTACCGGCGCGCCGCGGCGCCTTTCCCAGAAGCCATAAAGCCTGGAGCCCAACGTCCGTCCGTACATGGCAGAACATGGCGGCCCTTCCCTCCCCTTCTTACAGGGCTCCGGCCAGCGAGCGGTCAGCGGCGGCCAGCGGCCGGCGGCCCGGAGCCTCGCCCGGGGCCCGCCTGGAACTCGCCTGGAGCCCGCCTGGAACTCGCCTGGAGCCCGACTGAAGCCTCTACAAGGGCGACCAACGGCTTCATTGTGGCAGTCGAGCGGTTGTCCGGCCCCATATGCTTGAGCGACAAAAACATCAAAGCAAGATTACAGAATGAAAAGCACATGGTTCAAGGATAGCGGAGCAAGCGCAACAGTGTCAATGTACTTACTTTAATGTATGATGACATTACACGACAAGACATTTCTCAGCTACGCTATAAAAAATGTCGGGTAGCGGAGAACTAAAACGTGCGCCTGTGTGTGTGTAACATCAACAATGCGCCTCCGGCAACACCAGCGAGAACAATAACATTAGCTGTAAAGAGAGAGAGATACGAGTGTGTGTGCCAGTGTGTGCAAGAAAAAGAAAGAGAAGATTGAAGGGGGGGAGGGGGGTTAGGGCATGGCTCTATGACTCTCAGAACGAGCAGTACATACCTTATTTTGCCCTGCTGGCTGCTGGGTACTAAAGCAACAAGGGTTATATTATCGGGTAACGCGGAGGCAGGGGGCCACAAGAGGGCCTCAAGGGGGCAGCACACTGGGTGGAGCAGAGTCCGCAATTGATAGGAAGGATGTTGCAGCTCCACGCGTCACGAGCGAGTTACTGGCTCAGAAATCGAATCAAACTTTAAAATATCTAGCATTTAACAGCC